GTACACTAATTCATACTAATTCCAAAAATATTAACTTCAAAATGAATAGGTGCAAAATGGATGTGGAAACTGTTGATTAAACTGGACATATTACGGCATCAGTATTCATATTACCTGCAAAGTCATTGTTGTTACTATCAAGTAAACATGTTATGAAACTAGAACAAAAGGTACTACTTATTAACCTTCTACAAATATACTCCGTAATAAATATTAATATTTTGTTCAATACTTTCACATTAGAATGTACACACACATCTCACAACACATGAAACGTGTAGGGAAAAAACTATCACTGCCAAATATCAACAAACGCTTGCAAGATCAACAGTTCATAGTACAACTAAGATCCCAGTCATGTATACAAACAAAACGAGGCAAATCCACAACTTTGTACACCATAATCTCATTGCATGACACATCCCTCTATACTATCACCAGTAACCCAATTGCACATGACACATTACCAATAATAAATAAAAATAAAAGAAAAAAAGTACTGAAAATTAAGACAATGACAATGCTACAAGAAAAAGAATTAAAAAAGGCTTAGACAAATTCAAACCAAAAGTAGTATTTAGTTAGACTATCATTTTTAGACTAAGTGTTTAGACTAGCGTTTTCACAAAATTGCAAACATTTATTTTTGTGACAATTATAATAAATCTCTCATATATTATGTTGCATTCATATACTTTGAACTACCGATTTAAATAAACAAATTCAAAATTCAATTACATATACATGAACATCTTCTATATAATCTTGTATTGATATACTTTGAAGTACTTATTTAAAAATAAACATTGGGCATTATCTCATTCGCGCAATGTGTGTAAAAAATTAGTATCATAATAAATTCAATATGCCATGAAAGTTTATGGTCTATGGAGTAAACAAAAGATCAATAGAATATGAATATCAGATAAATATTATACTAACTAACAAAATTCATTTTGGCAGATTTCTTTTCTCTTGATCAAAAACTATTTTTAATACCCAACAAGAAAAAAAAAAATACAATAAAGCTGATGAACTCTGAGGAAGAAAAAGAATAATATAAAGTAATTGAAGATGTCAATATCAGGAATTGGACAAAAATCACAAAATTGAGTAATTAATGGTCAAGAAAATAAGAGGAAGGATTGACTAGTTTTGTGGAAGTTATTAATCCACCGGACATGCAATGGACATCTCCAATCAATAAAGGCTGTGTTATCTGATCTCTTGATTTTATTTCTATTATTTTTCCCATCTAGAATCCAAGAAAACAGAGACAGAGTCCAAGAAATTAAAGGTAAAAACTTGTATGAGACTGTCTCTCCGTGGGATGAGTCGGGTTAAGATGAAAATGTAATATTTATATGCAAAATTGTAATACTAATTATGAATAAAGTGCTTATTACTTAAATGGGAAAATGTAATATTTTTATGTTTTGATTTAAAAATATTATATTTTCCCTTATAAGTAACAAATAGTTGTCAACATGACTTATTACAGAAAATGTAATACTTTTGATGAAAAATATAATAATACTTTTATATCAAAATGTAAAAGTATTACGGAGTACATTTTTTCTCAAAAGTATTACTTTTTCGCTTATAAGTAACAAATATTTTATTCCTGATCAATATTATATTTGAACATATAAGTATAACATTTGCATGGTGATTTGACCCGTCTCACTAAAGTGTGACTTGAAGTTAAATTATCGTGAATGGAAAAACGATACGCTTTGTAGAAGTTATTCACCCACTTGGAAAATTCTACTCTGGATCATGATCTTTGTAGCAACATGGACCATGAAATATGAACCATCTTTAATACATTTCTACTTTTAATATATAAAAGTGCGACGGGCACTGTTACTAGTCATTAGGTAGAAATCTAAGATGTGTTTGGTTCATGGATTTAGCTATCAGGAATGGAAATCAAAGTCATTGTTATTATTTAGTTGACAGGTTTCTATAACACTACTATGAGATTTGATTACCCCCATTAATTAGAAAATTCATCCCCTAATAAAATAAGGGTTTCATTCCATTATTCCTCCTCCTGATTGGTAATTTTATTTTAAGTTTGGATTAGTGCTTTGGATGTCTTTATAATATAATAAATTGTCTTGATTTTTTGTTCTTGTATTTTTAAAACATTTATTCCCATTATAGGATCATACATAACCAAAAAGTAATATTGGTAATCATTCCAATTCCACCCTACTACCAAACATATATGCAAAATAATTTCACCAAAACTCATTACCATTACCAAATATTTAATTCTCATTTCGATTCCAATTCCCATGTGCGAACCAAACACACATCTAGACTCAGGGACGGAGCCAGAAAATATGTTGAGGGGGGACAAAGAAGTAAGGATGGATTCAATGGCGGATTCAGAAATTTTTTTTAGTGAGGGAAAAAAATCAAAATAAAAGAGAAAGTTTAAAGAAATGAAATACTTAAAAAGTATAACAATAAATATTGTTGGATATAGCGAAAAATAAAACATATTAAAACTTTATAAAAATATTTATAACAAAATATGAAACATAATTAATTTTATAAAACAATTCGAATATAAAACACATTATAAATTACACATTCCATTATTAATATAAAGAAAGTTATAATGGAATTCATATATATCATGCCAAAATTTAATTGTGTTAATCAAAAAAATGAAGAAGATTGTGACATTGTAAATGCAAAGACTCGAACCCAGGCCATTGTGAAACTTATACATGTTAGCTACAACCTTGTCTATCACAACTTTTGTTTACATAATCTGTTTTATAATACTTATATGAATAATGTACTACATATACATATTATATACAATATAGGGTAGGGGTGGGATGGGGTGAGGGGGGGCAGCTGACCCCCCGCCCCCCCCCCCCCCCCCCTCTGGCTCCGTCTATGCATCTAGTGTTCTGAATATGTAAAGTTTGATTGATTAATGGGTTAGAAAATGTCAAGCACCTTGTGCTCAGATGACACCTCTTTGGCTCTCCTTGAGGGAAGGTCACAAAATCGAACTCCAATGGTGAGGTATTGACTCTTTGAACTGCACTAGTTAGAGAAAGTATATAACAGATACTACCTTGTAATAGAACCAATAATATTAAAAAAAAAAAATGGGTTAGAAAATAAGAACATAAATACTTTTATTCCACACTTTGTCACTTGACTTGGTCGTCAATGGAAACCACTGGACATGGGTCATGGATATATATAATACGGAGTACTAACTAACAAAACATTTTATTTAAAAAACATGACCCCTTGACTTGGTCGTCAATGTAAAATTATGGTCTATCCCTTTTTATTAGGCAATCAAAACATGACACGTAGAATATGTTTAAAAAATGGAGTAAGAAATGCGAGTTGCCCACTAAGCAAAAATTGTAACTTATATAAAATGTTTGACCACTGGACAAAATAGAATTATATTTGAGTTAATACCCAAAATGGTCTTTCGACTATAGTAGTTTTTCTCAATTTCGTCCTAAACGATTTTGATAACCAAATGTAGTCATTGACTTTTGTATTTTTGCTCAATTTAGTCATTCGTTTGTTATTCTGTCAAATTAGTGTTAAATAAAGAGACAAACTAGTCCTAAACGACTTTGGTGACCAAATTGGTCTCTCTTTACTCTCAACCTTGCAAAGTGTGAAATCTCTCTTTCTTTTACGAATTACTCCCAGACCTGCAAATCAAGTTTTATATTCGCAAGTTTAGAGTAATTTTGGGAGTAATTCGTAAAAGAAATAGGGATTCGCACTTCGTAGGTCTAGGAGTAAAGAGATGCTAATATTGAAATTATTGAATTGTCCCTCAGCTCTATTTAACAACAAGTGGACGGAATAACAAACGGATGACTAAATTAAGCACAAACATAAACGTCAAGGATTACATTAGGTCATCAAAGTCGTTTAGGACGATATTGAGAAAACCCATTATAATCGAGGATATTTTAGGTATTAACTCACTTAAATTTTAAGCCATGAAAATTTATGGACTATGAGTAATCAATAGAATATGAATAACAATTAAATTTTATATATACTAACAAAATTCATTTTTGCAGATTTCTTTTCTCTTGATCAAAAACTATTTTTAATACCCAAAAAAAAAAAAAACAATAAAGTTGATGAACTCAGGGGAAGAAAAAGAATAATATAAATTAATTGAAGATGTCAATGTCAGGAATTGGACAAAAATCACAAAATTGAGTAATTAATGGTTAAGAAAATAAGAGGAAGGATTGACTAGTTTATACATCGACATGGCTAAACCTTTCATTAAAAAAATTATACTTTATTTAAAGTTATTAATTGATTTAGAGTATTATTTTTAAAATATCAAATTAATTTGTATTTTAATATTATTTTTGTCCATTTGATGAGTGACAATTCTTACTACTTTATGTGTATATTTGGCATCAAACACATGATTCTGTGTTAATTGGAAGCAAAATATGTGCATATTTAATTCCTTTGTGTCATTAGGGTGATCTGGGGCATTGATGGTAAAATCATGTAAATTGTAGCTAAAGTGAATGCGGTTTAAAGTCATCTTATCTTACCATAAAGATATGTTTCAAGACTCATATGGGAAGTTAAGAAAGTGAAGAAGAGCGAGTAAGATGTATCATGACATGACCAGGGACTCAAAGGAGCAAGCTAGGGAAATGAAGAAAAATGCAATTTTATAGTGAAGATCAAGACTCATGCTAATGCTCATGACTGTGACTATCTGCGTGAGAAACTTTGTTATGTTTTCTTCTTTCATGCGGCATCTCGGTATTTTAATCATATCTCAATGTAGAAATATCTAAATTAAGTGATTCAAGCGGCATTAAAAAGTTAATTGAAAGAGCTACAACTTCTAGGTAGAATACAAAGTCCAATTTGAACTTTTACTAGGTGAAAAATAGTTAGAAACCAAACACTACAACAATCACACAGCCATGGCATGAAAATAAAGACAACAAAAACTGTAAAAACAGACAAAGAAAACCACAATGGGTCACAGACTAAGACTGCTGCATTGCTTCAATTCATCTCACCATCCTCTTGACTCTTGCACTCCCACTATCAATTCCCAAGTATTAACCTTATAAGCCACTGTGGTTTTCGAAACTTGAATATGAGATATCCTATGAAGATACCAAATGGCATGCCACAACTATATCCAATAACAACACTTCTCCAACCAAATCCACTCCAAAAAATTTGTGAATCCTCCACAGCTGGTGCTTTCCCTTCACCTCTGTACTGGCATTTCAAAGTTAGTGGAAATCCACACAGAGCCGGGTTTTCTAAATAGGAATTGTTGCCAAAGGTGTTAAACTGTAGGCCATGAGGTATAGGACCAGAAAGATTATTATAAGAAAGATTCAGTACAGCAAGACATTTCAAAGATTTTGAAAGCAAATCTGGAATCTCGCCCACTAGTTTGTTCGATGATAGATCTAGTGCCTCAAGAATTTTCAGATTTCCCAATGATGGTGGAATGGAACCAGTGAGATGGTTGTGTGAGAGATTGAGAAATCGAATGAAACTTAACTTGCCTAAAGATTTTGGAATCTCACCGTGGAAGTAGTTATTGGATAAATCAAGGGATGTGCAAATATTATAGTGCACCACTTGACGCTCTACTCCTTTCCACACTAGGCTTATTGAAGATTCATAAGATGATAACCTTTCATCATCATTTTCACTCTGCATGGCTTCAAAGTTTTCCATATAATACCTTGGCAAAGGACCATTAAACTCATTGTGTGAGATATCAAATATATGTAGCTTTAGGAATGGAAATGTAGTATTAGAAGTGCTTATTTCACCATAAAAATGATTAGATCTCAACACAAAAACACGCAAATCAAGAAGAGTATCTAACCAATGAGGGAATGAATCATGAAACCTATTGTTTCCAAGATCTAGAAATTTAAGCTTTTTGCAATTTCTCAAACCTCGAGGCAATGGGCCTCCCAATTGATTGTCATTCAAATTGAAATACTCCAAGATGTTTCCGGTCCTGCAAACTCCTTGAATAAACCCCTGAAAATGATTTCTTGCTAAATTAATAACAGTAAGTTCTTTGCTAAAGTTCACTAAACATTGAGGTAGTGGACCATGTAAATTGTTGTCTGATAGATCAAGAAATTTCAAGGAACTCAAACTGCACAACCATGTCTCAATTCCATAAATCAAACTTGTATTTGTTGTTTGATCTGTGCCATTACTAATTGCAGGAACTAGAGTTGGAGCTAACACGCCTCCAAGCTTGTTATTAAAAACAATTAAAGTTGTCAAAAATTTCAACTTTCCCAGGCATTGAGGAATTGAGTCATCCAAATTGTTGTTCGATAAAATAAGCACTTCAAGAGATGGTTGAAGATTGCATAGTGATCCTGGAATACTTCCTTGCAGGTTGTTGGAGCTAAGATCAATATATCTTAGTGAGGATATATTTCCAAGGCACCATGGGATCAAACCTTCCAAACTATTGTCTGATAAACTCATATTCTCAAGGGAATGAAGATTGCACAGTGATCCTGGAATACTTCCTTTCAACATGTTGGAGTAGAGATAAAGATTTGTTAGTGAGGATATATTTCCAAAGCACCATGGGATCAAACCTTCCAAACTATTGTCTGATAAATTCATAAACTCAATGGAACCACGATTGCACAGTGATCTTGGAATACTTCCATTCAACATGTTGGAGTAGAGATTAAGATAACTCAGTGAGGTTATATTTCCAAAGCACCATGGGATTAAACCTTCCAACCTATTGTTTGATAAAGCCATAAACTCAAGGGAACCAAGATTGCACAGTGATCTTGGAATACTTCCTTTCAACATGTTGGAGTAGAGATTAAGATATCTCAGTGAGGTTATATTTCCAAAGCACCGTGGGATCAAACCTTCCAACCTATTGCTTGATAAAACCATACACTCAAGGGAACCAAGATTGCATAGTGATCTTGGAATACTTCCTTTCAACATGTTGGAGTAGAGATTAAGAGATCTCAGTGAGGTTATATTTCCAAAACATTGTGGAATCAGGCCTCCCAAACTATTAATGGACAAATATAGATGCTCAAGGGAGCGAAGATTGCAAAGTGCTTCTGGAATATGTCCTTGCCCAGTGTTAGAATGGAGTAAAAGAACTCTTAGTGAAGTTATATTTCCTAGACATTGTGGAACCAGACCTCCCAAAATATCAAAAGACAAAGATAGTTCCTCAAGTGAATGAAGGTTGCAAAGCGTTCCTGAAATCATTCCTTGCATTATGTTGGAATGGAGAAAAAGATATGTTAATGATGTTATATTACCCAAGCATTGTGGAATTACATCTCCAAAATAATTGTAATAATTTAAATCAAGGCCTTCAAGGGAGTGAATATTGCATAGTATTCTAGGAATATTCTGATGCAGCACCTTGGAATCTAGAGAAAGATGTCTTAGTGAGGCAATATTTCCAAGGCATTGAGGATTCAGACAACTAAACTTATTGTAAGATAAATAAAGATTGTTAAGGGAGTGACGATTGCATAGTGTTTGTGGAATATTTCCTTGAAACATGTTGAACCATAGATCAAGATTGGCTAAAGAACTTAGATTTCCAATTGTAGGAGGTATTGACCCATAGAAATTGTTGTCACTTAGGATAAGGCTTTTAAGTTTGGATAGCTTGAGTAAACTTGTTGGAAATGGGCCATGGAACAAATTCAACTCACAATCAAAATTTTGAAGGTTGCTCAAATTGGAGAATATTGCTTCTGGAATTTGGCCCGTCAAAGAATTGAAATATAAGGAGAGAGAAGTAATTTGTTGAAGATGGCTTATTTCGGATGGAATAGTACCACTAAGACGGTTTAGACAGAGGTTCAAAAACCGGAGATTTGTTTATGTTCCAAATTCCAATATAATCTCTGTTGGTATAAAATTTAAAAAACCGTTCAACTGAGGTCCAAGAAAACTAGTTGAGAGAGGTTAGCAATAGCATACAGAACTGATATGATCCAGTAAAGCTATTATTATGGAGGCTAAAACAGGTGAGATTTGGAAATGAAATGAAATCAAGGCTTTCAAGTGTACCTGAGAAATTGAAATTGTCCAGCTTTATCTTATAAACCGCTCCAGCATTGTTGCAAGTAATACCTGTCCAATTCCAGCAAATGTTGTCAAGATTAGCAATAGACCAAGAATGAAGAACATCAGTATTGAAATCAAGGGTGCTCTTCCATTTGAGAAGGGCTCTTCCCTCAGTTGTTCCAGAAGTTGCAGTCTCCAAAGGAAGTGAAACGAGAAGAAGAAGAATATGAAAAAGGAAAGAGAGAAATAATATATGAGAAGTGGCCATGTATCACTCAATCAGATCACTATATATGTTGTTTAATAAGTTGTGGGGTGGTGGACTGGAGGTGAATATGTAATGTAGGCTATTTATATAAGTGGCAGTGGGAGTATGCATGTATTAGTAGTCAGAAAATTAACATCCCAAGTACCTTGGTTTGGGGAAAAGACTTATAATTTGCAAGTCAACGAGGAGGTACAAATTCTACAGGAACAGATGATTATATGAATTAATTAACTTATAATTACGGCATGAAATCCGTAAGAAACACATTGTCAAACCTCAAAAACCATTGTCTGTTTTCGCATAAATTGCGGAGGATGAGTGCGTTTAGGGGGCAAGGGAAATGTTACCAGCAAATTATTGTGTGGAGCATAAAAAAATATATTTTTAATATATTAAAAGTATATTATTTGTATACTTAATATACATTATATAAAATAACGTATTTTTTTTTAATATAAGATACATTTTTAATATATTAAAAACACATTACTTGTGTAATGAATATACATTATTTGATACTATACAAAATAATGTACTTCTAGTATTCAAATAATATACTTTATGTACACAAATAATGTACTTTCTATATATCTAAAAACATAATAAGTGTGAATGAAAGTTATACCATTGATTTATGTCCGTTTTTTCCGTTAAGTTTTTTTTTTTTTTTTTTTTTTTTTTTTTTTTTTTGTACATTATGCTATAAAGGTTGTACATTAAAATATTTTGGACAAACATACTCTTACCGCTATAACTTCCGTTATCTTTTCCACTATTGTTACCATACACATGCATCCACCATATATTTTCTTATCTTCTTCATTAATAATAATGTATAAACATTATATATTTGAGTTATATGTTAATTATTACATAAAATATAAATATCAAATTTATAAAAATGATTTACATTATTATTATTATTATTATTATTATTATTATTATTATTATTATTATTATTATTATTATTATTATTTAGAATAATTTAAATATCTAAAATCTAAATAAATTTAAAATTTTAATATAATGTATTAATATTGGGCACATATTTTTTGCGCATCGCGCATAAAAAACACAAGTATATATATATATATATATATATATATATATATATATATATATATATATATATATATCAACCAAAAATGGTATTTATAATCCTCCAGATTATAGTTCCAACCAAGAAAGGAGTAAGGATATGTTGTTTAAAATCATAATCCCATGAACCGAAAGAAGAGAATATGAAGAAAGAGGGTTAGTACGAGTCGAACGAAACACTCTTTCCTTAAAACTTTATTTGCTACCTCCCAAAAGTGCTACGAGCGTTGTAGCCCAGGTTTCACAAGATAAAACGTACTACGGTTCAACGTTTGAGCACCCAAACGAAGAACCCGACAAACTAGAGCACGGGCAGAACACAGTTCAAGAAAGGAGTAGGAGCAGAGTTTTGAGAACAAAACCAGAATTTCTTTGTGTGTGTTCCTTGTTCACAAAAATCACCTGCTCAACTCATGCTTATATAGGAGATGGGGTACTCAATAGCATTCATGATGGCATTCAATACACGTTTTGTAACATCTGAAACAACAAGGCCATTATGTGTGACTTAAATTCAAATTTTAAAATTGGAAATTTAATAGAGATTAATTCTGTAATTGTTGAATTTAATCCCACACTGCTGGTCTGTTGGCCTCTCCCATGCTGTCTCATACGGCCCTGAGGCCGAATCCACCAGTTTCGGCCTGCCCTCTTTTAGCCTTCACTCTTTGTTGGCCTCTCCCATGGAAGGCCTCTCCCATGCTGTCTCATTCGGCCCTGAGGCCGAATCCACCAGTCTCGGCCTGCCCTCTTTTGGCCTTCACTCTTGTCTCTCCCATGCTGTCTCATTCGGCCCTGAGGCCGAATCCACCAGTCTCGGCCTGCCCTCTTTTGGCCTTCACTCTTGTTGACCTCTCCCATGGAAGGCCGAATGAGATCTCCCATGCTGTCTCATTCGGCCCTGAGGCCGAATCCACTAGTCTCGGCCTGCCCTCTTTTGGCCTTCACTCTTGTTGACCTCTCCCATGCTGTCTCATTCGGCCCTGAGGCCGAATGGTGTTCAGTTCGGCCAAATCCACCAGTAGGCCGAATCCACCAGTCTCGGCATGGCCAAATCCCAGCAGCCGAGAGTGTGCTGCTCTCGGCCTGCCCGAATCCCATAATCCTGGTATCCGAGAGCAGCGATACTGCTTATGCCCTCTTTTGGCCTTCACTCTTGTTGGCCTCTCCCATGGAAGGCGTCTCCCATGCTGTCTCATTCGGCCCTGAGGCCGAATCCACCAGTCTCGGCCTGCCCTCTTTCGGCCTTCACTAGCTCTTGTTGGCATCTCCCATGGAAGGCCGAATGAGACCTCCCATGCTGTCTCATTCGGCCCTGAGGCCGAATCCACCAGTCTCGGCCTGCCCTCTTTTGGCCTCTCCCATGCTGTCTCATTCGGCACTGAGGTCGAATGGTGTTCAGTTCGGCCAAATCCACCAGTCTCGGCATGGCCAAATCCCAGCAGCCAAGAGTGCTGCTCTCGGCCTGCCCGAATCCCATAATCCTGGTAGCCGAGAGCAGCGATACCGCTAATGCCCTCTTTTGGCCTTACCCATGCTGTCTCATTCGGCCAAGCCGGGGCCGAATCCACTAGTCTCGGCCTGCCCTCTTTTGGCCTCTCCCATGCTGTCTCATTCGGCACTGAGGTCGAATGGTGTTCAGTTCGGCCAAATCCCAGCAAGCCAAGAGTGCTGCTCTCGGCCTGCCCGAATCCCATAATCCTGGTAGCCGAGAGCAGCGATACCGCTTATGCCCTTTTTTGGGCTTACCCATGCTGTCTCATTCGGCCAAGCCGGGGCCGAATCCACCAGTCTCGGCCTGGCCAAATCCCATAATCCTGGTAGCCGAGAGCTGCCATGCTGTGTCATTAGCCTGCCCTCATTCGGCCAAGCCGGGGCCGAATCCACCAGTCTCGGCATGGCCAAATCCCATAATCCTGGTAGCCGAGAGCTGGCCTTACCCATGCTGTCTTTATTCGGCCAAACCGAGGCCGAATCCACCAGTCTCGGCATGGCCAAATCCCATAATCCTGGTAGCCGATGCTGGCCTCTCCCATGCTGTGTCATTAGCATGCCCTCTTTTGGCCTTGTCTCGGCATGGCCAATGGCCCGGCCTCTCCCATGCGGTGTCATTAGCCTTCTCTTGGCCTTACCCATGCTGTCTCATTCGGCCAAGCCGAAGCCGAATCCACCAGTCTCGGCATGGCCAAATCCCATAATCCTGGTAGCCGAGAGTAGCGATACCACTTATGCTCGAATGCAAGGCCAGTCGTACACAAGTTCAAGCTTGAATCAAGACTTCTCAAGCTCAATTTGGGATTTGATTTGCACCCCCCAGAGCAAGAGAGAACCTCTATGCTATACAATTCAATAAGTTTTAGAAAGACTCTTGTATAAATAGTCGTGCAAATCCTCTTCCTAAACCAATGTGGGACAAAAGCTCATCTTTTTCCCATAATTTTTCCAAAAGCCTATAAGGGGTAGACTACTGTTTTTAGACTAAGTAGTTAGACTATCGATTTTATAAAGTTGCAAAGATTTATTTGACAATTCTAATGAATATCTTATATTATCTTGTATTCATATACTTTGAGTTACATATTTAAATAAACAACATCGACATTCAATTACCTATGTATGAACTTCTCATATATATATATATATATATATATATATATATATATATATATATATATATATATATATATATATATAGCCAAATAGAGTTACGCCTATAAGGGGTAGAAAAAATGATAGGTTAAATTTTTTAATCAAATGAATGGCTCAGATTGATCAGATTTTAATTTTCCCTTGAAATTTTCTAATTTATCCTTAATTAAATGATTATTTGTGAACTTTTCTTCTAAATATTATCTTCTCCATTAATTTATGTTAGTTCACCGTTAACTTAATCATTGTTTTCAATAAGAAAGGTCTTAGGTTCGAACCACATCCCAATCAAAGTTGGCATAATTAGTACTCTATTTTACTCTTATTAAATTATATAATAAGGATTAATTTAGTAGCTACAACAAAAAATAATAAATATGCATTTCTTTAATTTAGAATTATGTGTCTACAATGCCTTTATTCAAAAAATTATTTATTGTCAATAAATTAAATGAAATTATTTCATTAGTTATATTATCTTTATTTTTCTCCAATATAAAAATTCTTTACATTCAAATTTGACGCTACATTGTCCCTAAAATGTCTTTATTCAAAAAAAATTATTCATTATCAATAAATTAATTAAGAGAAATAATTTCATTAGTTATATTGTCTTTATTTTTCTCCAATGTCAAAATTCTTTACATTCAAATTCATCAATTAATTATATTCACTACATTGTCTATTATCTTTTTTGTGCACTATTTTTTAATTAAATATCAAAGTTATAATACAAAATAATGCTATATATTTATTTACCAAGTATTTTATTAATACCATGAAAAGATTAAAAAAATATAATTAAGCCAATCATATTAACTACTTGAGGGATTTGTTGACAAAGAGAGCATTCAAATCACACAACAAATTGAAGTGGGAAACTATCTCGCAATGCCCAATTTTGGCTTGGAGAAGAAGCTACCTAAATTCTTAGAGAGAAGATGGAGGTTTTGTGTTTAGATTGTTTGTGGATGAAATGAAGAGATGTTGCTAGGTTAGCTTGAAGCACAAACTTTAGGTAGAAAGACATCTTTGCCCTTACTAAAGTTGGGAGGACAAGGAAACAAGGGAACAATCCACTAAGCATAAGGTACAACCCTTTGACCTTGATTGACTAGTCAAATTCTAGTCCTCCGACTATTGAAGTTTCGGCCTGCCCTCTTTTGGCCTTCACTCTTGTCTCTCCCATGCTGTCTCATTCGGCCCTGAGGCCGAATCCACCAGTCTTGGCCTGCCCTCTTTTGGCTTTCACTCTTGTTGACCTCTCCCATGGAAGGCCGAATGAGATCTCCCA